AAAGCTTTTGCTAGCAAGGCTAGTTTGGGTAAGACCTTGGCAGTGGTCAAGTGATTTGGAGATCTTTGGAAATATCTCCAAGGATGGCAACAAAAATCAGATCCAGGTTTAGGAAAGATGCTTCACAGAGGAACAGGTGCAACAGCTGGTAATTTAACTGGGTACTTAATAACACTCCCCAAACAGGAAGTCCGGTGATGAAGGGCAAGGTTCCTCTCTGATACTCAAAGGTGAGGACAAACACTGTGGATGCTGCAGTGCAGGATAAAGGGTCAGACACAACAGAGATGCTGGACATGTGCATTAGGGAAGCCAAGAGACTTCTCTGGAGACCAGAGAGAAAAACAGCAAACTTTCCCTGGCAATTCCAGTACATTCTGCCCAGAGATCAAGGTGGAGGGCTCAAGGTCTAATGCATTGCTCATTCTCCAACGCCTCTGCTCTCCCTTCACAGGGTAACATTGCAGAGAAACCTTCTACCTCACTCAGCCTCTTCTCAGGTTTAGGGCTATGGAACATAGAGAAGAAAAATATTTGTCCCCAGTTCACCACACAATGCTTTAAAATCTCCATATGAAGCTGCAGCCAAAATAAGACTGGTTTCTCAACATCCTCAGAAGCAGAAAACAAGATATCGCAAATAAACAGCCTTCATTAAAAAAAGCGACGTGGAAGCTCTTTTCATATAGCCAAGAAATATTGAGTGAATAAAAGCAGGGATCTAAATAGTATGCATATAGTGCACCACCACTTGCCTAAAAAGGATGGGGTGCGCAGAACGTTCACGGTGAACTTACACTAGATATATAAACTATATTAGATGTGCATGGACTACCTCTGGAGGATGAAGAAATTAGTAACATTGGTTGCCTCTGAAGAGAGAAACCAGGTGGCAGGGATCAGAGTGGACCAAGACATATTTACTATATAACTTTTTGCGCCTTTCAAATATTTTCTTTCCTCACATACCTATTTTGAATTAAAAACATTAAAAATAGTTTTAAATTTAAAATAAAATCAATTTAAGAACAAAATAGTCTTTTTGCAACAAAGCAAATACTGCTGTTAATCTGGTTAATTGTGTTCCTGGCACACAGCAGATGCTCAACTTGTTGAACTTAATGAACTGCCACTTGAAAACAAAAGAAAATCAGAAACCTGGCAAACCCAAGGCCATCCATGTTCTAACTACTTAGCTACTCAAAAGAACAGAGAATGGGTCCAAGTGTAACAGCAGGGCTCCTCATCTGTCCACAGCAGCCATTTTATAAACAGAAAAGATTTAATCCCCAAACCAAGACAACAAAAGCTCACATGCATAGATGCACAAATGATCCTTAAGGGAAGTAATGTCAGCATCTATAGACTATTAATATAGAAATGGGGGCTTAGAATGTGGCTCAGTGGTAGAGTGCTTGTCCAGCACGCATGAGGCCTTAGGTTGGATCCCTAGCACCACCAGAAAACAAACAAACAACAACCACAACAACAAAATGAAAGCACAGAGGTTAAAAATGGCCTTAATCATGCACTGATCAAAAAATGCTGGACCATGAAAAGCTGCTGTAAAATTCTAACAACAAACCACATCAAGAGACTCTGTACTTCCAGTGCTCTGTTCCTGGGGACAGTTCAGCCCAACATGAAACAGGAATGCTAGAACACCTCATGTCCCATGTCATCTACATCCTTAAATTCGTCAAGGAAGGTTCAAAATCCACTATCTGTCCCATGTCATCTACATCCTTAAACTCGTCAAGGAAGGTTCAAAATCCACTATCCAATAAAATCAGAATATTGTAAGCAGAAATTCTGCCACAAGGAATTCCATTATATTGGAAGTGTCTCTGTTGCCAGGGCTTTTCACACAGTAGGATTTTAGGCCAAAAACTAAGACAGACTCTTCCTGTCTTCCATAGGAAATTGTGCTGTGTTCTGGGCAGGAAGGATCTCTGGCAAGGGTGGTGGGAAACCATTGTAGGGTATGTGGGCCTGCCAGAGATCAATAAGAGAAAGGTAATAGTGAATGAGGCAAGGAAAATGGTGAACAAGAAGCCCTTCCACTACAATGTGCTGAGGAAAGAGCAAGATAGAAAGAAATGAAATGGCCAAGTGCTAGATTACCAAAGCTCCAGAGAAATAACGCAAAAGAAAGTGCTAATCAATGGACAGTAGTTGTATTGGGTTCAGTTGAGAAAACAGGTCAAAACAGAGAAGAGAAAAAAAATTTAAAAACAAGTTGACAGTGGGCTGGGTTTTGGCTCAGTTGGCAGAGCACTCGCCTAGCATGTGAGAGGCAATGGGTTCGATCCTCAGCACCACATAAAGTAAAATAAAGACATTTGTCTCCCTAAAACTAAAAAATAAATATTAAAAAAAACCCAAGGTGATAGACATCTTTCCATTAAAAAGAAATGAGCTGGTAAACTGAGGGTACCCATTTGTCAAAATCATGAAGAACACAGAGGGGAAAGAAAATGAAAGTAAAAAGGGCTGAAACAAGAGGGAAAAGACCACAGACTGAATTTGCCCTCTGGTTAATTTCAAGTCCTTGAAAAGAACAGGAAAAATGCAGATAAATCAGTGAACAAGCTACATTACCAGCAAGAATCCATTTCATACTTCTGTCTCTGCCAGGTCATGCGGGTACTGCTGCTGCTCCCCCTACTCAAATGACTAAGGAACTTGCCTAAATGCATTTGACACTCGATCCCTGAACTTCCGAAAAGCACTTAATACAGTGGTTCATAAAATCTTAATCTAGAAATGTTCAGCCATTTATAATCAAGCTGCATCATACCGATAGTCAGAGAGGAAGGTTGAACAGAGGGACTCTATACGTGAAAGGACTCCATGGAGATTGGCATCATTAGGGACTTTGCCACTTTGACAGATTCCCTCCCACCCCCTTTAAAGATAAAAAAGACTTGGCATCTAAGAAGAGTGTAATTACAAGAGAGAAACTGAATTATCTGAGTCAATGAAAGAAAAACATGTAAGATAAAAATGCAATGGTACTTGGAAATCCCTGCACATGACTATGATAAAATGAAATTTGGAATAAGTTTAAAAAATAAGTGGTGGGGTGGGTTGGAATTAGCTCCTGATAGAAAATATTGGGTGGTAGATACGAAGAAAAATTGTACAAAGGGACATCAAAACATTCTATTTAGCAAATCTATAGAAGCTACTGTGTGCCAGGCACTGTTCTAAATGCATCCAATATAAATCATGCACTTCTTTAAACAATCTTCTAACCTAAACAACATTATTTTCTTGTGTCATAAGTGAGGAGACAGGCATAGAGAGGTTAAGGAACTTACCCCAAGTCACACAGCTACTAAGAGGCAAAGCTAAGATTCAAACCCAGGCACTCAGCCATCAGGTCTGTGCTCCTAATCTCCCTGGTCTCCCCTAGAACTTGAGAATGAAAGAACTAGGCTAGGAATGAAATGCAAAGTCATGCACTGGCTAGATCTTAGGTCTATAAATCAGAGCCTTAGTCATGGCTCTCTGATGACCAGACAGCCTGGTGATTGCCACAGGTCTCAGTTTCCTCATCAGCACAGTGAGGAGACCAAATTAGATGAGCTCCATCAAGTTCATGCTGGTAATTAGCAGTATGTGGACTAGTGTGTTTTTTGCTTGGCTCTTCAACCAAATTCATTCTTAAGCAGGCAGCAAGTTTTATAAGATTGTTCCTCTGCCTCCTGACCTTCAGATGATTATGTCCTCTCTATTCAGGCAAATGACAGAAGGTAGTAAAGGAGCAAAATAAATGGTTTCTCTTTTAGACTCTGCTTAATATGGTTATAACCAAATGGTCCATGAAAAGCTCTGGGCACAGATCATATTAACTCTGCTAGACTGCAATCTCAGGTCCTCTCCTAAGCCTATTCTGGAAGCTGCCTCTGGATTTGGTTACTGGAATGCAAGTGAAACTGACATTTGGAGGTGGAACAATCAAGAGAGAGGAATTTGAAAGACTAAATCTATAATAGTTCAAATTAAGGAATTTCATAGTAGAGAAGTAAACCATTTGGTTATTTATATTTTGGTAAATCTTTTCATATAATCCATTCTGTTTGCTTATACCAACTCTCAAGAGCTGAAACCTCAAAATTCATTATGGGTAAATTCAACACCCACTTTGAACCTACTGGTCCCCCATAAGTATCCTCAATCTAGGCATTAAATGTCAGCCATAGTGCATCTGTGGATGGAGAGAGTCCTTACAGATGGATCATGCAATGCTCCCTTGGGAATCCTTCCTAAGCATCCCTGACAGGTGGCTGTCATCCGGCCTCTGCCTGGACACTTCCAAGGTCGAGGAGCTGGTTGCCTGGTCTGGCAGGCTGCCTCCAGCGCTGCTGGACAGCTCTCGTTATGGGGAAAACCCATTAAGCGCCTAGAACAGAGACCCGCGTGGGGCCGAGCCCCGTAAGTACACCTCCAAGTGGGTCAAAAACTGCCTCTCTAGAACTTGAACCCTTTGGTACTGAGTGCGCCCCCAGATCACCCAAATGCAGAGTCCCCCTCGAATATCCTCGCCTGTAAACAGAACCCTCAATCCTTTCCTTCCAGGTTTGGATCCTGGACCTTCTTCATCAAGAGTGGACCGGCAAATACCTCTCCAGACCTCTCAGGCCCCAAAAGTGCGCATCGATGGGACGACAGCCAGGAGGCCGCGATCGGAGTTGTCTCCAGCCTCGGTTCTCCGAGCAGGAGGGGACAAAGGACCTTCCGGAAGGCGTATCCCTCCGTGGTCCTGGCTGTCTCCGCCACTGGGCGAGCCGACCCTGGGGACCCCCCTCAATGCCAGATGGCGGGACCCCTGAGGCGCCAGGTGACAAGACCGCGAGGATCCCCGAGGATCCGGGGCGCGCAGGCTGAGGTACTAAGGGCCGAGCCACGCTGGTAACCGCGAGGCCCGGGATGTTGGCGCGACGGCCCCAGGTCGCGATCCTAGCTCCGCAGAGCTCGCTAGGTTAAGGCTTTACCTGCGCGACGTTGACTACAGTGGCCCAGCTCGTCCCCAGTCCGGCTCCCGCAGCTCCGCCGCTGCCGGCTGCGCTCATGGAAACGCAGCCGGAACCCCTGGCCAGTGCAGCTCCCGCCGCTACCGGCCCCGCCCAAGCAACTGCCGCCACGCCCCTGACTACCGCCTCTGCCACGCCCCCAGCTACAGGAGCCCGCCTATTCATTGGGTAGATCAGCTGTTACTCTGCTTGCCTAACGCATCCATTGCACCTGATTGGCAGCCCATTGGTTAGTAGAGCTGCTTCTCAGAATGGAGGCGGGGGTCCTTATTGGAGAGCTCTTTAACTATTGGTTACTTTTGACGTCTTTGGCCCGTGGGCCAAGACGCTATTGGATAAGGCCCGCCCGGAGGGGGCTTGGAAAAGGGCGCTCAAGCTACGAGACGGGTGGTGTTTGATGTTGATTAGGGTGGGGTGAAGAGAGGGGGCGATTGTGACCGCAAGCTGGTTTGGGAGGCTGGGTAAGGTCAGGTGTCATCTGAGGATGGGCGGAGAAAGGTCGGCTGGTAGCTAAGCTACAGGGTTCTGGTGGGCCCAAGCAGACCCACTGAAGCACCTGTAGCCAGGGCAGAACATAGGGGTCGACATTTGGGATAATAACGCAAGAGAGAGGAGAGAAAGTAATGAGTCGCCCAGCCAGAAGGACATGAAAGGATGTGGAGGCAGAGACCTCTGGGGAAAGAGGATGGGGACAGGAATCTGAGGGGCCAGATGGACTCAGTTATCCTTTTAGATCTTAACCAGCCCCTTGCCAGTAGGAGGTCTCCTGGAAGAATGTTTAAGGTCAGACCTAGAATTGGAGATGTGGGCTTGGGCAAAGTCACTTGTTTTCTCCCTGATTCCTCATTTGGCAACTAGAGGTAGCACTAGTAGTTGATGAGAGGATTAACTAACTCTGGTAAACATTAACAGTGCCTAGGCATTCATCAGGACTGATTCTTTACCCACTCACCCCATCCGTCTATGGAAGTAGGCCCAGTTCTAAAATTCTATGAGCCTGAAACTGCTTTTGCAATACATGTGCTTTACTAAGAATAGAACACTTGAGAGACTTGAAATGTAATTCCTGTGGGGCAGACAGGGACACACTACCAAGGCACAGTGGGGCTGAAAGAGAAGGAGCAGGGGATGCAATGGGAGGAGCCATGTAGCCAATAAAATGAAGTAGTATTTGAAGCAATGCTAATTTTTTTCGGTATATTTCAGGATTGTGACAAGGAACCAGGCTGGATCAAGTTTTGTGAACTGTGACCAAATAAAATCCTTCAGTGGCTACTCAGTTCTGGATCAAAAATCACTGCAGGAAATACATTTATCAGACACTCCTGAAGTCCATTCCCCATTCTGAAGGTGTGGACATCTAAGAGTATGGACAGAAATAGTCTCTTCAGGCTGAATTGAGCCCCAGATCCTTTGTGCTCACCTTTGAAAGAACTCATACCCATGATACTTTAGAGTTAAGGAGGAGAAAGAATCCTTTGCCATTGATTTTTTTTTAATTTTTGTTTTGTTTTGTACTGTTGATTGACTCAGAGGCACTTCACAGCCCTTTTTATTTTTTATTTTGAGATAGGATCTCACAAGTTGCTTAGGGTCTCACTGAGTTGCTGAGGTAACCTGGAACTTTCCATTCTCCTGCCTCAGTCTCCCTAGTCTCTGGGATTACAGGCATGTAATACCATGCTTGGCTTGTTGTTATATCTTTAATCCAATTGTCATATGACCTAAAATGAAGTTTCATCTCAACATTCATTTATTTTTCTATGTTCTCTTTCATCTTGGGAAAGACAAATCCAGGCTTTTGTAGCAAAGAATTTTAGTGAGGGACCCCTCCCCACCCACTCCAAGCTCTTGACTCTTGGTGTTAAAACAATTTAGACTTCCAGAAAAGATCTTTAGGTTTGTCACCAGATAAGTATGTGAAGCAATCAATGCATGTGTTATCTAGTTTGATGACATTCCACAATGTTTACATATATCAAAATGTTGTGTTATGGGCTGGGGATTTGGCTCAAGTGGTAGCGTGCTTGCCTGGCATGCGTGCAGCCTGGGTTCGATCCTCAGCATCACATACAAAACAAAGATGTTGTGTCCACTGATAACTAAAAAATAAATATTAAAAAAAATGTCGTGTTATAAATATATACAATTTTTTGTCAATGAAAAATTTTAAAAATAATTTAAAAATAGATTTATTACTAGTCAGAGATGTCTATGTGTATGCATGCATGGGCATGCTTGGTTCTGATCCACAGTTTCCTGGTTCTTGTCCCTAAGAACCAGGAAAGAGCTGTTAGTGAACAGGCCAGGTCCAATGCAGGTTTGTTCCTGCCTATGTTTGCTAAGGAAGACTGAGATGTCCTGTTAGGCCCTGAAAAGCATGAAATGGTTCTTGAAATCAGGGATGATTTCTCCAGCTTGATTCAGAGCCACACAAAACAGCTGTTTGGAGTGAATTGCAGATGGGCTCACCATTGTGCAAATGGATTTTTCTTCCCATCTCAGGAACATAGGTTTAGCCAAGAGTTCTAGAAGGGATGTCTAGTTCAGGAATTGAAAACCATAGTTGTGTCTCTGAAGCTCAACAAGAGCTACAAACTGAGATCAGGCAGAGGAAGGAGAGTGAAAGTACATGTGTGTCTTCACTGCAATTCTGGTGGCTTAAAGAATGATATATTATTATTTCCTACACATAACTGTTTTCATATTTGCTTCTGATTTCTGTTTCCTCCCCTGTTCTGTGACTCTTGCCATATTCTGTTTAATCACAATATTTCATTCTACAAAGCATCTTTCTTTCTTTCTTATATTGGGAATCAAACCTATGAGTCCTCTACCACTGAGTCACATGCTCAGCCCTTTTTTTAAAATTTTGAGACAGAGTCTTACTAAATTGCTTAGGGAATCACTAAGTTGCTAAGGCTGGCCTGGAACTTATGATCCTTCTTCCTCAGCCTCCTTAGTCCCTGGGAATACAGGTATGCATCACTACACCCAACTCTCTACCAAACATTTCTGTGGGAAGCCATTTAAGAGACAGTATGGCCTTATTTTTGCCTTCATGTTTATTAGTCTATCAGGTTGAAGATTTGGTGAGCCTTGGCCTGAGAAAGCCAGGTATTGTGTCATGGCTGTAAAGTAAATTTCCAAAAGCATGAGAGTGCCTTGTTATAAAGAGAAGAGAGAAAGCGAGCTCCTACTCACATTCTGGGTTGGCTGGAGCTCCAGGACTTTATTGAAGTAGAACTGGCACTAATTCAATGGGGGGTGGGGTGGGGAGGAGACTCTCAGCAGAATTTCCTAACCTGAGAAAGTCCTCAAATTACCCTGGGAGACAGCAGGGAGCCGTGGCCAGGACAGATAATATGCTCTGTTTATTCTCTTCTGGCAAAACCAGCAATTCACTTGGTTTGTTAGTTATTCTTTGTCCTCAGGGAATTGTTGAGAACATCAGCTTTGGAACCTCTCTACTACTGAGGCTCATATCCTTGTTCTGCCCTCCTTAACCTTGAGGCCGTGGGCAGGTACAGTCTCTCTCAGTGCTCTACTTTCTTCAATAAAATGCAGATGACAGAAACATGCTACCTTCATGGGGTCCTATGAATAAGCAAATGAGTAGGTAAATGTTAAGTGCATCAAACAATGCCTTCCATAGGGTTAATTCTTAATAAATGTAGTTATGATAGGAACCCACACTAAGAACCTTCCACAGGACTAGGGATGTGGCTCAGTGGTAGAGCACTTGCCTAGCATGTGCAAGGCACTGGGTTCCATTCCCAGCACTGCAAAACAAGACCTGTCTCTAAGGTGTTAACCCATTTCTAAGTTTTATCCCTCAGAAGTGGTGATCATGAGACTATAAATATGTAACTTTATTTTTTAACGTTTTAGGTTTATAGCAAAACTGAGCAAAGGACAAAGAGTTCTTATATACACCCCACCCCAACATATGCAGGATGTTTTAAAACTAGCAAAAGCTACTACCTGGTAAGAAGCAATTTTCTTTTGTATTATCTTTATTTAAAAAAAAAAAACAGTTCAAAAGATTGGGTTAAGGTTTTGAGTTTAGACCTCATCAACAAAATTGTGGTGAAGGAAATGGAAATGAATAAGGCTGACAAAATGTTGAAAGCGACAGCCCCAATGGCCTGCCTGGATTCCCCTGATGCCCAACATGAGTCAGACTGAGGAATCTATTGTCACATCCAGTATTGCTTATGGGCAGTCCAGGCAGGGGGTTCAGAATGCCCTGTGCTCAGGTCTCCTGGATAGATTTCATTTTGATAATGAAGATTAAGTTTATTTAGAAATTTTAAATCCTGTTTTGCAGTAGTTCTGTGAGGACAAACTATGATGAAATTCAGGGGTTTGGCTCCTTTTGTACTTTGAAAAATCTTCCAGCTGCTCAGTGAAAATAATGATGAAAACAACCTTGTCTATGGTTTGGGCTGCTTCCTTAAACTTATATGTGAAGTTATCTATAATAAAATAATGAAAAGGACCATTCTGGCAAAATTTTAATAGTGCACCCTACTGGGGTAATCCTCAAAATCCTCCCAACTTGAATGATGAATTTTTATGATGATTCTTATACTTACATACATAGGACCCAACACTGAAAATGAAACACACACACACACACACACACACATACATACATACACACACACACGTAGAAAGGTGTTCCAGTCTTATAATCAGATACAGAGTGAGACAAATGCTTGGCTAAAGGTGACTTCTTAGTCACCATGCATTGTTCTTCTTGATGTCATCCTTAATTACAGCAATAAAAATTGACTTCTTCATATTATCAATTCCAAGAGTCAATAAAACTTGTGTGTCAAATAAGTACGTCACATACCCTTTCCTGCATAAATTCATGTTATTGAGCTGTTTTAAAGCTGTTTATATCCTTTTAGAGACTCTTATATTGTTTTACCTTACATTTAAATTAACAAGGTAATAAATATTTTTAACGAGCAAGACATATAGTACTAGAAAGCTAGACAAAACCATAAAATAAAGTCCTATCCTTGCATAGGTGGGAGTATAAGACAAAGAGGAAATACTTGAAGATTCAAGAGCTTAAATGAACGAGGAGTAAGCAATACGGTATAATCAGGTCATCAATCATTATTCACAGGAGAGAACAATTTCTTCTGATTTGGATTCATGAGGACTTGAGCTGCTGCTTGAAGGTCCATGGGGCTAAATTTGGGTGGGGTGGTGGCATTCCGGGAACAGAGACCTCTTACTGGAAGAATACAAGATCGTTTGTCCCAAGCAGAGCCAAAGTGAAAAATCAGTAGGCATGATGAACAGGTGGAAGAGACCAATGGCAGAGGCCAGTTAATGCCTTCATCCTAGTGGCCTCATCTCAATCACTTGATATTTGGATATCCTAGCACAGTGCAGAGCATGGATCCCAAACTCCAGGGGTATTCATAACCCTGCTCATAATTTGGACTGTCTTGTACTTCCTCCTCTATGACTTACCTAACAATTTCCTTAAATTGACTCACTTTAAAAATGGAATGCCTTCTTCAGTCTCATTCTAAATTAGTGGTTCTCAACGGGGGCCAATTTTGTCCCTTAAGATAACTTTTTTTAATTATTATTAGTTATTCAAAACATTACATAGCTCTTGACATATCATATTTCATACATTTGATTCAAGTGGGTTATGAACTCCCACTTTTACCCCGTATACAGATTGCAGAATCACATCGGTTACACATCCACTGTTTTACATACTGCCATACTAGTGTCTGATGTGTTCTGCTGCCTTTCCTATCCTCTACTATCCCCCCTCCCCTCCCTTCCCCTCCCATCTTCTCTCTCTATCCCATCTACTGTAATTCATTTCTCTCCCTTGTTTTTTTCCCTTTCCCCT